TTATTATTCATTTCTTTATCGGGTATATCGATTTGTACTATGGTTTCTGAGCGCGGTTTTAATGTAAAACAGATATCACTATCACTTCCTGTTTTATTATTATTTATTGTTAGCGTGTTGTTAGCGACGTCTATTATTGCATGATTATCTATTAGAAATTTATTACGTCTAAATATATACGTATAAATATATATAATGACATTGGATATTGGTATTTTATTATTTAATATAGGTACATACCTATTTAATTATATTATAATTTATTTAATATTTTAATATTTTTAATACATCTTGTCTTATAGGTGTATATTTGAATTCAAAATAATAATTTTAAAAAATGTTCATAATATTTTACCAAATTTAATGAACACTTAAAAGATTAAAAAAATATATATTTTTACTTTACTTAATATTACCTATATTTAATTTGACATTATTGAGAGTAAGCTGTATATATTAGAGATATACCAATTACCTCGCCAATTACCATGTACTATTGAATTACTTTTAAGTTTGTAACTGTTATTTTATTTTTGTATTAATTTGCATCTACTTATTTTATTACTACATTATAAATTAATATAAAATAAAACATTTTTAAAACTCACCTATTATTCGAAGTGTTCATTTTATTTAACTCATTATAAGTACCAGGATGCATAAACCGTAGATGAGCTACAAGATTACTAGTGTTTCCACCTTTACAAGTCTTGGTCTGACTACAATTTTTACAAATTCCTCCATCTTTCGTTTTATTGAAAAATAACCACACTTTAGACTTCACTTTACCCATTTAATTTCCTACAAAACATATTATAATTTATAAGTACAATTTTTGACATAATATATTACCTATATAGTAGCTATTAATAATATAAGTAGTGTATACATACCTGTTAAGACTGAAATATAATATACGAGCAGTATACGATCAACGAGCATATAATATAAGAGCAGAAAGAACTTGTAGTATAAATGTATAATAATATAAATTAATAACAGACAACAGTTGTTGTATAACAGTTCAACGTGATGTCGAGATATCAATAACAAGGCACTAGTGCATGCAGGACGCGGCAGGTCCTGACAATCGATATTTACGATATTGACCATTTAATAATAATCAAAACAAAATTACCACATCGTCAAATGAAAATTCTAAAAATAGCAGTTTTTTCCCTAGCATCGAGATAAAGAATTTATACTGTGTACTGGACTGGTAACAAACGGGTGGGCTGGTAGCGGGGGTAATGCAGGAAAGTGGAGCAAGCCCAAATGCTAGCGCTATGTATTTTCATCGTATTTCCCCCTAGCACAGGCCTACTTAAAACCTAAAACTGCCCGGTGAAATACCGCAACCTAGTCTTGCGAAGCCAGTATAGGCGTGTCCTATCCATACTTAAAATCTTAGTATAATGTTAGATAACAGATAACGAAAATTACAATATTATATTATGACATTATTTCATTATGAATATATATGCTAGTATTTTCGGTAATTACCGGGGTACGGTATTTTCGGTAATTACCGGGGTAGGGTATTTTCGGTAATGACGGTAATTACCGAATCACGGTATACCGGTATTCTGAAATATCGAAAATACCGGATACCGGTATTTCTTAAATACCGCCAGCCCTACTATAGTGCGTAAAATAAACAATAAACTATTAATTAAATAATCAAACAATCAAAATAAATCAGCATTTTTTTTTTTTTTTTTTTTGAATTCAAATTAATCATCCAATACGACATCTATTTAAAATAGTAACTCTTATTACTGTATTAATTGAATTAAAATTTTCTTTATAAATCAACCTACTCTTTTCAATACATAAGGACTTATTCCGGCCTTGTAAAATAAAATTCAAAATATAGACCCACTGTCTTCAAATAATTCACAATATCAGGACTTATACTGCACGTCTGCATGGCCTATAAAATTCAATAATATCGACTTCAATTGTTGTAATAACACAAATTACACAAAAGGACTTACAGCACGGCCTACAATAAATTCAATAAAATAACTCGACTTCAACTGTCGTAAAATTCAAATAACACAAAAGGACTTACAACACGGCCTATAATAAAATTCAATAAAATTCAAAAACAAAAGGACTTACAACACGGCCTATAATAAAACTCAATAAAATTCAAAACAAAAGGACTTACAACACGGCCTATAATAAAATTCAATAAAATCTCAACACAGACATCAATTGTCTAAATAAATTCACAAAATACAAGGACTTACTTCACGGCCTTTAAATAAAATTCTCAATAAATTCTCAATATATATATATTCACCACATATTCAACAGTAAATAATTAACCCCCTTCTACTTAAAATTATTCTTAATTAATTCTTAATTTATTATAATAATCAGCACGAACTATTTCAATGAATTGCTTCTAGAATGGAATTTGTCAACTAGAGAAAACGTCTTAAATAATTTCAACTATAATTGTTAATTAATTAATAAAATAAATTTTTCTCAAATTGATTACTATCTGCAATAATTTATTAAATAAAACAATGCCTTTAATTTATTTCTTCTTTAAATAACTGAATTGAATTTCCGTTGTATTTCAATAACTATATTTATTCCTAAAATACTTGTATTATTCTATAAAGTTATTAATTAACTCAAGTTATTATGATAAGCAACACAATTGAATTCAATAATCTGATGCGTAAAATAGAAATTGTTCAGCTTAAATAAATTTAAATAGTAGGTACAAGTGTCTATAATTAATCAATCAGAAAAATTATATTTGAATATGAAAATTAAAATCCTGAACAATTAAATTGTTTAACTAAACGATTAAAATGTATTAAAATTATTATGTTAAATTAATTAAATGATTAAATTAAATTGTTAAATTAAATTATTTAAATGATTGAAAATTATTTTAAAAATCAAAGTACTATTTCTATTTATTTAAATGATTGAAATTTATTTTAAATTTAATTTATTATGTTAATTTAAAATTGAATTATTAATTTAAATTAATTAAAGGATTGGATAATTTTATTGTAAAATAAAATTATTTTATTTTATTTAACGATTGAAGATTTAGTTTAAAACTAAATATTATTTTAAATTAATTTAATTAAATGATGGAAAAAAATGTTTAAATTATTATAAATTTGACAATTATTTTAAGTTAATTTATTATTTTAAATTATTTAAATGTTAATGAATTTATTTTATTAAAATGGTAAAATATTTTATTTTATTTAACTATTATTTTATTTTATTTTAATTTTATTTAAATTATTTTAAATTATTTATTATTTTAAATTATTTTAATGTTAATGAATTTATTTTATTAAAATGGTTAAAATTTATTTAATTTAAACTGTTAATTTATTTTAATTTAAATGATTAAATAAATCTATTGTAAATAAAATTATTATTTTATTTTATTTAGAAATGACTTAAAGTACTGAATAATATCTATCTTATTCTATTAAAATGATTGAAACATAAAATACCTGAAAATAAAATTTTATTTAATTTAATTTAAAGTTAAGAATTTTTTTATTTATTTAAAATAATTCGCGACGTTATTTTAAAATAAACTATTATTTTATTCAAATGTTATTTAATTTAATCCTTGAAAATTTATCCATTTATTTTATTAAAACACTGGTAAAATTCAACACAATTTCGGTTTATTGAAACGAAAATTCAAAATACCTAAAATTTCTTATATTATTTAACACGACTAGTTTTTTCACTTATTATTATATACCATGGTCATGCATTTACCATATGAGACGAACACCACGATATTAATTACGTAAGCATACTTACAAAAACGCAGCTGGTACAGCGGGTGCTTCCTTTTTCTCGGTTGAAATGTTGATTGTAGTTGGGTGTTACGTAGTTGTACAGGATTCTTTCTCGGAGTTGCTGGAAGGTGATCAATCTCCCAACGGTGGTCCAGTGATGAATTTTCCTCATTGATTGAATTTTAGAAGTTGAAAAATTTTCAAAAATTTTCAAAAATTTCGAAAAAAATTTTTTTATTGTTCTTCAGGTTTCTTCTAAGTATCCTTTTGAGATACCCTGTCCACAGCGCCAATTTTGTAACGTGCCAACCACTTCAACTCAATATTGATGGTATTTTGAATTAAATAACAAGTTGATTTTGTAATGATAGTTCAGTTGTATTTATTTGACACATAAAATAGACTAAGTCCAAATAATTAAATTATAAAAATGTGGTAAACTGGTATCGACTTCGTGGCTGTTCTGCTATAGTGCTCGTCGTCTCGGCTGGTGTTCGTCTGATGGACACTTGTCCATCGACGTATTTCGTCGGTTTTCCTATTAGATCCCTCCTATGGCATTTTTAGTATAAAAATGGTACATAGCCGCGTACACCTGACGTCATTTCGGCGTCCTCTACGAAATAATGTTAATTGGGAATTATATGTTTTCAAAGTTATCTATTTTTGTTGTTTACGGCTTTGTTTCCTAGAATATGGATAATGTGTGCGTATACCTATCAGGGTTTGCGCTGTACTCCTGTACCATTAATTAGTTCTGTGCTCTTATCGATGTGGCTGCCCGGACGCTTATATTATTACTATTATCGGGTTACATGCCCCTTGCAGCATTTATATCTGTTATTGAATATAATATATTATATTATAAGCGTATTATACTTAATACAGCATAATATAATATAATATTCTATATATTATTACTATTATAATATGTACGTAGTCACAGCCCGTTACAGTTGGTAGGTAATGCAACGAGACACATATTTAATTGTTGTATATTATATATATATATATTCAATATTTATTTTAGAGTTTAAAACTAGTTAAATAATTATTTTAACAGTTCGTGTTTAACCACCGACCGTGAAACACGTGTGTTATATCGCTAACGTTTTTATAGCTGCCGATAGCATCGTCGTCCAGCAAGTAATATGATTTGATTATTATATTATAACCCCTGCATGCCGTACTATTCGAGTAATGAATAAATCAAAGGGCACAATGACCAACAACAACACTTTTACTAGTAAATTTACAAATTCCAAAAGCTCAAACGTTTCATCTAAATCAAATCAACCATCACCACTCAAACAAACAACTAAAACACCTTCAATTCCTCGATCATCCGCAACCACGGCCGCGACGGTTACAAATCGCTGTACTCCCCACATGCGCAATACCACCAGCAACTCGCCGCAACGTACTGACAATAAGAACATTACATCCTCCTCCTCTCCCGCACCGCAAGCCGATAACACACACACCACAGCCGTTATCGCTGCTCACACTATTTACGATAACTCGATCAGTTCACAGCTATTATTAGCACATACCTCCAGTACTACATTAATCAATAACACAGATAATAATATAAATTTCGCATATGCCGCTGATATGGATAAAATTCCGAGCAGGGATCAAGCTATCGTTTTTTATTCGATAGACGGTGTACCTCAAATACAATACATTTTAGCGATCGGAAAAATAGTACAACCCAATAACATAAAATTCGTCTCAAGAATTGATATACAAATAATCGTTTTTGTATTTTGTTAAGAACCCCTGGCTATATTAGTTAGTATATATATATAATAGTGTATAATATAATATTCTACGACGGCGACTGTCTGGAATTGCTGCGACAGCAATTCCAGGCAAGCGCTGGTTACATGCACGGCTTGTATAGCAAGCAGTGCCAGTGGCATTTCAGAGCAGTAGACGGAACATTGTGATTCGCGCCAGAACATAATTATTGTCAGACCATTTTTTATAAAACATTAAATAATTCATTAAGTGTATTGTAAGTTTTTCTTTTCAAAATAAATATAGAAAGTAACGTATAGTTCGAAAGTGTTCGTTGTTTTTATTTGTGCACGGACCTCCAAGGAGATACGTAACATTTTTGGTGGCAGCGGTGGGATAACGACAAATATCAGTATCCCGTTACCACGAGCAATAGCCGAACTAGACTTTCAACAATATTTTAGAAGAAAAGGAAACGAACAAAAGCGTATCCATTCGAAACAGAACATTGTACACAAAGTTGCGTAAGGTAACACTTATAGTATAAGATATTATTATTTTATAATAGTTTATATATTTTATATACATCTAAATGGTGTGTATATATACATGCAAACGGTTGCGTGTGAACGTGTCTCTATAAACGCGCGATCAGCAAATTCCCGGCGTGGTGTAATACATACATACGCCGTCGAAAAAAAAAAAATTGACGACAGGCAGCCGCCGTGTGTGTGTGGGCCCGGCGTACGTGTTGCCGCCGCCGTCGTGGTTGTGACGACATCCGTGTCGCCGCCGCCGACGTTTGAAAACAGACGACAACACAGCTGTTACGATAATACGATATCAGAGCCGCCGTAACGAATTTATATCAAAATATAACGATATATTTACGTTATTTAATCATCGAAGCGAAACCCAATAATTAATTATTGGTCCCCGCGCCAGCAGTTTCGGGGCGTAGAACATCGTTCCGAAGTGGTTAAGGTGTCGAAGAGGAAATTCGACGTGTTATTGTTCCGAGATCAATTCGACGTCATATACCAGAGCATTCAGCACAAATCACAACGACCAGGCGCAGACGAACACTGAACATTTCAATTCATTATCGTCGAACAATTGTGGTGGTCGTGAGTATTTAGCATTAAGTTTTCAGCTCTGTTTATATTTAAATATTTTTTTTTTACAAAACATAGGATAATAAATTATTATACACCATATATAAACATAAACCTATGGTAGGGAAAAAGTCTTTCTTTGTAAACACATGTTTCTCAGTGTTTTATTATACCGAATTCTTTTTTTTAAATACCTCTTTACGATTGGGAATAAACCTTTTATGAAACTCTTAGGCAAACTTTAATGAGCGCAAATTCGGGGGAGGATTCAACCACCAAGGGGGCTAACACGTCCGTTACTGATACCCCTACCACTACACCAAGAGTAAGTTTACCTGTAAGGTGCTCCAATCCCGACAATCCAAATTCCGAGCGTCAAATACACGAACTTTCCGTCGACCATTTACTAATTAAGGAAGCGGATTTGACTGTAGCCACAAATAGTTTTTTAGCCGAAGTTAACGAAGAACTTAGGGAAATCGACAAAAGTTTAATTCACGTCGCCCTCGAAACCATTTCAACAGAAAATTCAGAAAATTCCCAAAACACAAAAATTCTACAGACCAATCAAGAGAAACTTTTAGACTGGTCTTCTAACGACACAGTTGAATCGACAAACCAAGGAATTAAGCTTCTCGTAAATCAAAAACCATTGGAAATAATGGGAGATAAAAATCAACCAACAGGGAGTGGTGTACTAGGACCACAGTTGACCACAGACATTTCAAATAATCCAGATTTAAGCCAATTAATTGATCTAAAGATTCAGGAAATCATGAGGACAAGAGATAGCGCCAGTTCGAGACATGGAGATTCGATATCTAATAATCAAATCGGACTTCAGGATGCGATTAGGCTATTACCAAAGTCATTCGATGGAAAAGACACCGAAAATTTAGAGATTTTCCTTGAAGAATGCGAATTTGTTGTGTCATGTGTAGTGGAACCGGCAATTCCACGACTGCTTCAGGCAATCCAAACCAGGTTAACCGGGAAAGCGAGGCAGGTAACAAAGTTTAAAACATTCGACACATGGGAAGAATTACGGGAAACACTTAAAACAAGTCTAGAACCCCAGCGAACCACACATCTATTTTTAGAATTGTACGCCATCAAACAAAAAAGATGGTGAAGATATTCTGACTTACTCCATGAGAGTAGAAGCTTTACAAAATCTTATCATTGAACAGGAAACTGCAGACTTTTCACCAGAAATTGCCCAAGCGATGGAAATTTCCATTAAGAGACAGGTAATTCAAGTCTTTATGGAAGGCTTGGGGAACCTAAAGGACTACATTAAGGCCAGAAACCCACTAACCTTAGATAAGGCCATACAAGCCGCCCGAGAGGAAGAACGGATTAGGATGTCATCCGAAGAATCCAAGAAACTTTACAAAGGAAACGCGGTGGCAACGAAAAAGCCAAATGGTTCTTGCAACATTTGCAATAAACCAGGACATTGGGCCCGCGATTGTAGATCCAACCGAGGTAACAACACAAATCAATCAAAAAATTCCAGCACGCCACACGGAACCTCCAAAGCCGCAGTGAACACCATCACGTGTCAGTACTGTAAAAAACCGGGGCACACAAAAGATGTATGCCGGAAATTAAAATATGTTACCGGAAAAAGGAATGAAGCAGCTCAAGCAGAGACTTCGGAAAACCAAAATCAACCGGGCGCTTCCGGCGGACGTCCGGTAGGGAGCATAAAAAGCGCCGCCATATCATTTCCAGAATCTTCACATTAAAGTCAAATTTAACAGATAATACTTTTACATGCAGAACCTCTCAGACAATTAACCCCAATGCTAAATTTTTACTGGATTCAGGAAGTGATCTCAATCTAATTAAAATTTGTTCACTTTTGGATCAGGTAATGGTATACGAAGATACCATTTACTATTTAAAGGGCATCAACGAACAGTTAGTCCCAACATTAGGTCGGACGACTATAAGTATTCAAATTGGCGAGCGTATGATGCAAGTAGAATTTCAATTAGTACATTCCAACTTTCCCATTACACAAGATGGAATTTTAGGGAAACCCTTTATAATAGGGAACCATACGATTATTAATTATCAAACTAATGAATTAATAGTACCAGAGACCGTTAACATGAAAATCCAAGCTCGAACAGAAACTTTGATCGCAATACCTATCACAGAATATCAAGAGGGTGAAACACTTTTAATCCCAGCTCAAAAGATTTCAGAGAATATCCTATGTAGCAATACGGTTAACCAAGTGCACCAGAATCAGATACTTATAGCGGTGATTAATCCCACGGAATCTTCAGTGGAACTTACCCAAGCACAAACGAAATCAATTTATATTCATAAGTTTGATGATGTTAATGTTTATGCAACTCAGAACATACCAGAAAAGTCCAGCGGACAAGGCCGTTTAGAAACCCTAAGGGAAAAATTAAATTTGGATCATCTAAACCAAGAAGAAAGAGAATCTCTTATGCCAATATGTGAGGAATACTCAAATATCTTCCATCTAGATGGAGATAAACTATCTTGCACTGACCAGATTTATCATGAAATCAAAACAAACGAGGCCGCACAACCGATTAATGTACGTCCATATCGGTTGCCTTTTAAGCATAGACAAGAAATTGACAGACAAATTCAGAAGCTTGAGGAGGACAACATTATTGCTCCGAGCAAAAGCCCTTGGAATGCGCCATTACTCGTAGTTCCCAAGAAGCCTGATGAAAACGGTGTCGTGAAGTATCGCGTGTGCGTGGACTTCAGAAGGTTAAACCAGATATCAACAGGAGACGCGTATCCTCTACCGAACATTACAGAAATTCTGGACCAATTGGGAAAATCCAAGTACTACACTACGTTGGATTTGGCCCAATTGTACCATCAAGTCAAAATGCACCCAGACCATTGCAATAAAACCGCCTTTTCTACGGACAAAGGTCATTTCGAATTTTTAAGAGTACCATTCGGGTTGAAGTCAGAACAACGAACAATATTTTATTTATTAACAAAAGAGCATCACTGGCAAAAGTCGACGTATCAAGCAATCTATAGTTGTTTACAGAAACTTAAAGAATTGTGTATGCAATTAAAAATAACCAGTCTAGCTTGTCCAAGGATTGGAAGTGAAGCAGATGGACTACAATGGGAAATCATCCGAAACATGTTTCGAAACACCTTTGGAAATTCGAACATCAAAGTCTGTATCTACACCAGAGATGAATTAACAGAAGACCAGAAAATACAGAAAATAAAAGAATTGCATGAAAACCCGCTAGGAGGACATCATGGATTAACTAGAACGTTCAATAAGATGTACGAAGAACATAACTGGAAGGGCACGAGAAAACAAATCAAACAATTCATAAAAAAATGTCCAAACTGTCAAAAGAATAAAACAGCGACAAGAACACCAAAAGAGCCTATGGTGATTACCAGCACAGCTACCAGAGCCTTCGAAAAAATATTCCTAGATGTCGTAGGACCACTACCTCGTTCACATAGTGGAAATGCTTTCATCTTAACGTTACAAGATGACCTCACTAAATTCGCATGGGCTTCCCCCATGGAGAATCATGAAGCGAATACGGTAGCACAACATTTTGTGACCAAATTTGTGTGCTTACACGGAATACCGCAAAGTCTGGTGACAGACTGTGGTACGGAATTTTTAAGCAACGTTTTTAAAGAGGTGTGTAAACTCCTAAAAATTAGACAGACGTCGACCACACCTTACCACCCTCAGAGCAATGGCAGTCTCGAAAGAAGTCATCGTTCTTTAGCAGAATATTTACGAAATTTTATCGGAAAAGACCAACTAAACTGGGATACTAGAATCCCATATGCGATGTTTTGCCATAACTCCACTGTTCATTCAGCCACGAAATTCCAGCCATATCATTTGGTTTATGGAAATTCTGTAAAAATCCCCACATCTTTCACTAACGAACCAGAACCTCAGTACAATTATAATGACTACCAATTCGAAGTCAAAAGACAAATGCAAGAAGCTCAGGCTTTTGCAAGAAACAATTTGCTGGAAGCAAAAAGCAAGTCAAAGAAACAGTACGACAAGACAGCAAAACATCAAATTTTTGAAGTCGGTCAGAAGGTTTTACTACAAGAAAAAGCCGCGAAAAACAAACTGGCTCCGAAGTGGTTGGGTCCATATGAAATTGTAGATGTAAATCCAACAAATAAAAATGTAACCATAAAAAAAAATAACAAGAAGAATCAGACCATACACCAAAATTTACTAAAGTTATTTCACGAAAAATGAAACGAGAAAAATGAATTTGTTCCAGGAAACCCATCATGGCATTCGCTGGAATTTCCAAGAAAAATCCGTCATTCTCGAAAATGGTAATCCTGATAATGTGGATATGGGATAGTACATCAGAAGCTCAAGAGAATTATAACATTACTACCTTCCCGGATCACAAAGGATTCTATTATGAATCTCACGGAATGATCAAAACTTCTCACACTAAATGGAACTTGGTAACGTATGTGGACATTGGAATCTTGACCACAAAATATGATAAGTTGATGACCCAGTATAGCGAAATGGAGACAATTTGTAAGCAAATGATAGCAAACTTTGGTAATGCAGAAATAGAAAACATTTGTAATCAATTCGTAAACCAATTTTCTACTACAACCCGTCCATATTTATATGAAATTCAGTTAAATCGTCGTAACGCGATGTTATCGATAGAGCATAACTCAAATAATGAAATTCGAAATCGCCGAGGATTGGGAGGTACCTTCAAGCGCCTGATCAACGTTTTGTATGGTGCATACTCGAAAATCGACACCGAATTCATATTTAAACAGATCGTAGAATTAACCAAAAACAAAATTCAGAATATTAATTTAGTCAAAGAAAAAACAAGAGTTGTACAAGCAGAAATATTTGATGCAAATCATACTTCACAGGAAATTTCAGAACATCATCAGAAACTCGATAATAACTTGCAGTATTTACAAAGACTGACCAAAGAAAGTATCGTTAAAATCAATAAACTAGAATTTAAAAATAAACTGTTAGAGCAAGCCTTTTTATTCGAGGTAACTCTCAATCAGTATGCTTACGAAACACAAAACCTTATTGCCATTATAAATGCAGCACTGGATGGCAAGATCCACACCAGCGTAATTACCCCCAGAAAATTAATACAGGAGTTAAAAGAAATTAAAATCAACTTACCCATGGGAAACGACCTCCCGATAGAAGTAATACCTGAGTCCATGCCAAACCTTTTCAAAATCTCTGAAATAACGATTTTCGTGCAAAACGAGTACTTAATATTTTCTATTGAAATACCATTGATTTCAAGTAAAGTATTAAATGTGTATCGAGTTGTTTCATTACCAATGATATATTCTACCAATACATTAATTTTAATTGAACCCGAAGTCGAATATTTGGTAATTAACAATGATAATGAGGAATTTTTCACTATGACAGGGAAACAGTGGAAATCATGTGTACATTTAGACACTTACAAATTATGTAAAGGTGGTCAAACATTTCACCGCCGCTCGAGATCGAACGTTTGCGAAGTAGCACTTCTAACATATCAACCAATCCCAGAAACTTGCAAAATAAAATTTGTAACATTAACAACGTCCATTTGGGATAAGTTATTGGATTCCAATGCATGGTTATTTTACACACAACCAACTTTAGTGACCATCAAATGTGCGGAACCTCCACAAATAGTATCATTTCAGATCTCAGGCGTAGGAAGGTTGACCACCTCCCAAGATTGTGAAATCCATACAGAAAATTCCATTATATTTCCGACCAGTAGATCTAATAGAGGTATCTATACTGATTTAATTCCAGAAAGCAAAAAACAGGAATCAGTATTATCAGAGAGTCTAAAAAAATATAATTCCCCAGAACCTAAAAGACATTAGTATCGTACACGATTTTAATTCTTTATCCAAAAGGTTAATAGAAATAAGTAAGTTACCAAAGGTAACAACATAGTCTCTAATAATATTTCAAATGGAATTTCATATGGTACTTGTGTATATCTTAATGTTAACTATAATATCCGTAGTTAGTGGATTAGCTATTAAGTTTAGAAACAGCATAATTAGAATGTACTATCCGGATTTACCGGATATTTTATCACTGAATAATAAGTAAACATTATAATCATAAATTTAGTTATGAAAACATATTGTACGGAACATTAGGGAACCATTAGGTCCCTAAGTTCCATTTAAGTTGGGGGGTGTTAAGAACCCCTGGCTATATTAGTTAGTATATATATATATATATAATAGTGTATAATATAATATTGTACGACGGCGACTGTCTGGAATTGCTGCGACAGCAATTCCAGGCAAGCGCTGGCTACAGGCACGGCTCGTATAGCAAGCCGTGCCAGTGGCATTTCAGAGCAGTAGACGGAACATTGTGATTCGCGCCAGAACATTATTATTGTCAGACCATTTTTTATAAAACATTAAATAATTCATTAAGTGCATTGTAAGTTTTTCTTTTCAAGTTAAATATAGAAAGTAACATATAGTTCGAAAGTGTTCGTTGTTTTTATTTGTGCACGGACCTCCAAGGAGATACGTAACAGTGCGTATAAAATAATTTAAAACGATTTACAGGTAACAGGTTAGTAAGTATATGTAAATTCCTTCTCTTGTATGCACTCATTGGCTATCTGTATGTTCACATTTTTTGCATTTTTTCCAAAGAGTTTTTTAGTATATAATATGACTGCAAAGGGAACAAACTAACAGTTCAATGTATAACTCCTAACAGTTATATTCCACTTCTTATTTCTGTGGTAAAGAGCCAGAAGCTGATATCTGAAAAATGCTAATTTTTCAGAACAAGCGTTTTTAATTTTTTAAAAACTGAAAATTAACTAAATGTTGAGTTTCAGCTTGCACTTTTAGAGAAAATATGTTTTTTTTTTTTCATTGCAAATTCAACATTATTTTAAGTAATATTATGCTCGTAAAATAATTTATATGTAATAATATTGATTAATTAATAATTAATTTAAAAAAACATAATTTAGATATCAACTTTTGTCGTAAACATTTTCTTGCAAAAACAACATAACATATTATTATATATTACGTCTTGTATATTTTATTTTTAAAATAAAGAAGTATATTAATATTATTAATAATGTATTATAATATTAATAGTATTTATAAAAACAATACAAAACATTTTCTTATAAATAGCTTTAAAAAAGTATTAATACAAGGTAAAAAATTATACAAAATCAATCTTAAAATCTTGATAACAGCTCTTTGTCGCGGTCGGTATTTCGGCAACGCCGAAATACCGGCCGCTACGTCTTTCGTGTCACCCGCACGACGCGCTACAGTCGGACGGCAGGTGGAGGGGACTCGGACGTCGGCAACGACACCCGACCTCGCCGCCGGCCGGGCCGCGTATTTCCGAACCCTAACTGAGCTGGGGCACTAGTGCCCGAATCCGGTTAGACTCCGTAGTGCGGAGTTTACTACGTTCCCGAACTGATTTAGGGTACACTATTAAATATTCGTTTACAAAGCATATTTTTGTACCTATTGGGCTTGTACATACATTGGTACAATATATTATGTCGTCGGTAAATATTTTTCGTACCTAACTTAGTATTTTTAATGAATATAAATAAGTATAATAAATAATTTATACGATGCGATTTATGCTATACCTAGTCAATTACATAATAAAACATTACATTATTTACAATATTGTTATTTATTTACATTTTATGTTTGTAAGTCAGTGTGATTTGGAGTGTAAATATTCGTGTGAAAAGCATATTTTTGTACCTATTGTACCTATTAGGCTTGTACCTAGTGCGATATCTTATCTTCAATATTTCTAGCTAGATTTCTTTTAGTATTTCTGGACGTTAATGATACTAATTTCCAACATATAAAGTAGGTAGATATACTGTCAGTCTTATCGATAAACTTTTCCTATCCAAGCTATCTTTAAGTGTCTATACAATTTTTTTTTTTAACCGAAGACAGTGAGTTCCCTTACGACAAAATTATCGGCGATAACGAGTTCGTCTGAAGCACTTTCATTTTTGGCTCAGGTGAATAACAAAAAGAGAGGTCGACAAATTGGAGTCCAACCAACTTCACTTGCTAGAAGAAAAGTAGGATTGACTTTAGGTTCAAAAAGAGTGCAAGCAGGGAGACCTACTGAAAGTGCTCCTCCAAACAAAAAAAGAAAAAGAAACCTAGCTAGCAATATTGACGATAATAAATGTAACTCCAAATCGCACTGACTTACTAACACAAAATGTAAATAAATAACAATATTGTAAATAATTTAATGTATTATTATGTAATTAACTAGGTATAGTATAAATCGCATTGTTATAAACATGTCCCCCTTTCTTTTTTAAATTGACTTACCCAAATTATATGGAATATAAATAAATGTATTAGTTGAATTATTTATTATACTTATTTGTTTTCATATTAGCATTATACTATTAATGTTTAATATAATAATATAAATTAATGTATTATTATGTAATTGACTAGGTAATATAGGTATAGCATAAATCGCATCGTAAAAATTATTTATTATACTTATTTATATTCATTAAAAATACTAAGTTGGTACGAAAAATATATACCGACGACATAATATATTGTACCAATGTATGTACAAGCCCAATAGGTACAAATATACGAATATTTAATAGTGTACCCTAAAACAGTTAGGGAACGTAGTGAAGACCCGCACTACGGAGTCTAACCGGATTCGGGCACTAGTGCCCCAGCTCAGTTAGGGTTCGGAAATACGCGGCCGGGCCGACTGTCTTGTTCCGTCCGCGTGACTACCTACTACTACGATTGTAATTAAAGTAATATAAGTGCATAATAAAGTAAACTCGTGTGTTGTTCTTCTGAGTCACCTACATTATCCTTTACCACATCCGGTCAACCGTGTCATTGGCGCAGTCGGTTTTAGGATTTGAACCTCGTGCCCCGTAAGGTAAGTCAATATTAAGTCAATATAACCACAATACTTATCACGGGTGATCCCACGGGTCCTCCACGTGTAGTAGCAAACATTTGTCTATGGACCACGTGGAAAGGCATGGTACTGGGTATGGGACAGGATAGTCTGACCAACAACACTAGCGTACAAAAGGGCATCAACCACCAACGGGTAGCCTCAACAAAACATAGTATAACGCATTTCGGTGATCTCGGGAAGCCCCAAAACCACGTGAGAAACGATACTGGGAGAAACCCATGGGCCGTTTGGAAAACACCTAGGGCACTTTCCGTGAACGCTGGGAATACCCATATAGTTAATTGCGACACAAGGTTTCGCATCGGCGGGGACGGGGCAGTCGACGACCGAACCGAACACCCGTATAACGATGTCGGGAAAAACACAGCGACGAAACATACGGGCAAAACCCACACAACAGGGAACAAGACCAACAACAATCGGCACATCACAAACCTCGGGAAAACCCCTCCCGAACAGTGAATCAACGCCGAAGCAATGCGATTAAAGTCAAGGAACAACAACGACAAACGTACTACAGCTGAAAATTGACAAGACCAAAGTACTACAACTCAACAGTCTATACAAGGTGGGTACGACTCGAAGCCAACGGCAACGAGACGCGCCCGGAACACCGAGAAAGAATCTAGAGGTTTATCCCCCCTGCGCACGTGGACGAAGGGTCAATCGGGTATCCCTACCGGTGACACTGCCACTCCAATGCTATGGTAAATAGGGGAGTAGGCAGGCACCATGTGTTACCAACGTTGGAGTCGTTAAGGCCGGGTTAACTGACAATCACGTCACACTGGCCGACCCAATCGAGGGCACAAGCGTAACCGACATTAGGAGTCAGTGAGTCTGGTTAAATTGACAAAAAAGTCACACCAGCAGATCCAATGGAGGGCGCAAAATCAACCAACAGCGGAGTCGAATGACAATAACCAATGACGACCAAAAGTCATACCGTCACCGACCCCGTTGGAAGTAGGGAACCTGGACCAAAGTCACGAAGCGAGGGAAGGCAACGCCAAAATTCTAAAGAGCAAGTAAAAGACTGAAACACGAGGCAAAGTAGTGGACGGACCCATTAGGGGCTAAGTACGGCAACACCGGAAGAAAACCCCAGGTCCAAACACACGCAGGTGGAATGCAACGTGGAGATCACGAAAGGGTCCTCACACCGACCAAAATCGGACGGGAATCCCGGACCGAACAAAAGTGGCAGGGAAGTACAACACAGCCACCACCCACCAAAGCATCAGGAAAAGGTCAACAAAGTATCAGCAGTACAAAGAGAGAGGGGAAACCAACATCTCACAGGACAACATGGACTTTACCAGCAAAGCGGGAAAACCAAAAAATCCAGTTCGGGAAATACCCGGTACCGAACAACACCGGGGTTTTCCAAAACACAACAACGGGTTTTTCCAATACCAACACATCGCGAACGTCGGGAAAATCCCTCCCGAACAGTAGATGCCAAAAATCAATGCCAAGGCAAGAGTATCAAAGTCAATGGACAGCGAACAAGTCCAAAATACTACGGCCACGGTCTATACAAGGTGGAGGCGACGCGAAGCCAACGGCATTTAAGATGCGCCATGAACACCGAGCTCACAAAGGTAAGAGGTACCTCCCCCACGCACGTGAAAAAAGGTTTAAAAGGGTATCCCAAACGGTGTAACTGCCGCTCCAATGCTATGATAAATAAGGGAGTAGGCAGGCACCATGTGTTACCGACACTGGAGTCGTCAAGACCGGTTAAACTGACAATCACGTCACACCGGCTGACCTAATCGAGGGCACAAGTGAACCGACATTAGGAGTAAGTGAGTCTGGTTAAATTGACAATGACGTCACACCAGCAAGTCCAATGGAGGGCACAACCTCAACCAACAGCGAAGTCGAATGACAATAACCAATGACGACCAAAAGTCATACCGTCACCGACCCGTTGGAGACAAGGAACCCAAACCAAGTCACGAAGCAAGGGAAGAGAACACCAACTTCCTAAAGAGCAAGCAAAAGACGAAGACACGAGGCTAAGTAGTGGACGGACCCATAAGTGGTAAAGTACGGCAACGCCGGAAGATAACCCCAGGTCCAAACACACACGCGGTACGGGAAGTACCTAGTACCGAACGTTACCGCCAAACAACAAAAAAACGGTATGAACCCAACATACGGGTTTTTCCAATTCCAACTCCGAAAATGACAGAAGATTCAAGAGGAAACAACCGAGCACGGCGTGCTGATTGGCGGGGGAGAGTGGCGCGACCGGCAACACGGTGACAGGTCACACCTAGCTTATCATCAGCACGACACGCCCGAACACACAAGACATGCGGGCCGGGCCAAACCCAGAACCAGTCCTAGGGTTTTACCGACTCGGGGAAAACCACATCGAAAACATTCCGGGTTTTTCCCCCTAACGAACACCACGGGGGAAAACCTACATACGAACAACACACACGAGATGGGAAAACCAACGATGTGACAATCGGAGAATTACCCACCATAACCAATACGTTTTTCCATATAACATGTTTGTGTTTACAGCAGCAAATCAAGATGGCCGAACGTAACCAGGGAACAAACGCGCCATCCAACCGCAACGGGGATTTTAACCTGTTAGTGGGAGACTACCGTCCCCATCGGGGGACCGTGGCAGATGTGGTCCAGCTGATCCTGGACCAGGCGGCACTAAATTTGCTGAACGCGCGCCGGCTCGCCGGGCGGTCCTCGGGTATCCCCACGTGGGAAAACCTCATGGCTGTGTGGCGGCGTCATGGGAGGACCCAGGCAAGGGCGGAGAGGGGCACCCAAACATCACCAACGACCACGCCCATAGCGGAGATCCCGACACCGTCCGTGCGGACTCCGGAGGCGACACCAGCTGACGGACGAGCACTGGCCAAGTGGGCCGTAGAGGCGACCCACCAAGAGCTGATGGCACATCCTCTGATTCAGATTGCCCTGGACGGGGGAGTGGTGAGACCTCCGCCAGTAAGGCACCCGGAACCCCGACGACTGGCGAGGAAGACGCCGACTGTCGACACCGGCAACACCAGAGTCGTGAGGACGAAGGCCGACCTAAAGCAGAGCGGGACGCTACGCGAGGAACCAAAGGTGGCCGACCTGATTAATCTGGACACGGACGAGGAAGAGTTCCTCCAACTCCAGGTAGGCGCCCAGGAGCTGCCGGACGTAGACATGCTGTCGGAACTGCCGGCCAGCGACGACGACGGACTGTGAGTAGGTAGACGGCGTCGTGCGGGTTGGCGGGGGAGAATGTCGCGATCGGTATTTCGGCAACGCCGAAATACCGGCCGCTACGTCTTTCGTGTCACCCGCACGACGCGCTACAGTCGGACGGCAGGTGGAGGGGACTCGGACGTCGGCAACGACACCCGACCTCGCCGCCGGCCGGGCCGACTGTCTTGTTCCGTCCGCGTGACTACCTACTACTACGATTGTAATTAAAGTATTATAAGTGCATAATAAAGTAAACTCGTGTGTTGTTCTTCTGAGTCACCTACATTATCCTTTACCACATCCGGTCAACCGTGTCATCTTGTGTTATAACTTATAACACTAATATAAAGTATAATTACTAAAATAAAAAACATAACATTTACTTTAAAATAAATTTAACAAATTAATATTTAGGTAACACAAATTATTCAGATTCAGTCTCTGAGTCTGGAGTTACTTCGGATACTGTTTTAGTTTTTAATGATTTATAAAATGGATGATAAATTGGATCTATTAATGGAAGAAGGCTTAGTAGATCTTTCTTTTTCTCAACTTGAATAGGTAAAGGACAGTTATAGGTATTTGGCAAATTTAAATTAGATGCTCCATTAGTAGTTAACTCGGTCCTAAATCTTGTTTTAATTGCACCTTTCCTTAAATCCAAGAAACGAAATGGAGTGTCCTCATCTAATGAGTATTTAAATTGAATAATACCAAATTGTTTGTCATATCTCAACCATTTTATCTTAAGCCAGTTTATCTTTTCTTTGTGTGTATCAACATTACGTTTTACCAGTGGTCCGGAGAGGAAAGTTGAAAAAGATTTGAACTGTTCTTGTTCCATTTCGACTACCTTTAATGGCACTTTCCCTCTTACACTTCTTACAAAGTTGTACCAATCCATTGGTATTGCAATAACTGAATCCGATTGTTTTTTATACCGCTCAATCCTAGCATGATCGCTATCACACTCAAGATGGGTATGTCCAGGTACTAAAAACTTTTGATCAATCATTTGTAGTGATGGATGCTTTTGAATGGCAAACATGAACATCAATGCAACATTCATGTTGCGATTTTGACCTGAGCAAGTGTCGGAATATGTAATTAAATGAGTTATGGTATTTTTAATATTTTCTTGAATAAATTTGTATAAGACAGATGCAATTTGGTTGGATCCACGCCCAGCTATAGCCTCATGCCACATGTAACAGAAACTTTTATTAAGACCAATATCTCTTATCGTCTCGTTGTACGTCCATAACTGACGCTTGTAAAATACAATATTTGTTTTAAGATCTGGCGTTGTTAAACATTGTTGTAAATCAAAAACTATCACTTTTAATGTTGGTGTGGTACCTAATCGTAATTTATCCAACCTTTAGAGTTGTAAGCATACTCAACCATATCTTGGTGTTCTTGATTTTTATTTGTTAGAATTTGTAGGTCATTACCAGTAACATGTTTTGATTTGGTTTTAAATTCATCACATGTCTTACATGTGTCAATATAGGGAACTTTAAATTTCAAGCCAGTTTCAGAAAATATTGTTCTATACAACCAGTAAGATGAAATGTTGTTAATATTATTTTCATGACAATACTCTTTGTACAAATCATACATCTTCTGTATATTTAATGAGGAGGATAGATAGAGTAAACTCGTATGTTTTCTCGAGTAATGGCTTTCATAGGCCGGGAAACTTTTAATATGATTCAATATTATTTCTCTGGACTCTGCATTGTAATTATGTGGTTGGTGCAAGCCTCTACCAGATTTAGGAGAAATTCCGGTAGTAGAACTTCTTTTTTTGTGAACCATAACATCAACTTTACCTCTTCCTATGCCATAGGTATTTTGAAAAAGTTTTTTACATATTTGTTCTTGCTTCCCATCTATTTGAAGACAATACTTCACAGTAATTTGCCTGTCATGTGAAACTATTGACTTTTTTTTGCTTAATATTGTTGTTGATTTTTTTTTGTCAAATATTTGAATGCCATCCATAATTACTTGGTCCTGGGCACTAATTTCTCCTAATTGATAAAATTCATCAAATATACTTTTTTGAATATCTCCAGGATATAATTAAAATGTTACATTTATTTTTACAACACGGTACATTTAAATGGGTGAATATTTTTTGAGAGATTTTCTTTCCATTCCTATTTTCATAATCCATTCCTAATTTCTTTCTTTTACTCATGTGCAGTCTCTTTCCATTT